GTAAGAGGAAGACAGATTTCTTCACCAAGCAAGTGGAGAAAATGCAGCCAACGCTGCAGGAGAAGCATTACCAAGAAACATGCTGTCATGGAGATGATAAGCCAGAAGATTCAGCAGCTCACAGCCCTGAGGGCAAGTCAGGCTATTGCCAAAGCCTGAGAGTTTGTTTCAGAAATGGGTCAGAGGGACCCTGCTTCAGGAGCCTGGGACTTTGTGGGCACAGCTTTCTGGGGTCAGGGAAGAGAAGGGTATTATGTTTAACGCTAATAAATGTGCCACTTGGGCGAAAAATGAACTCAGTTTCTAGAGGCGAAGACAGAAAAGGGAGAATGAATTAAGAGGTTTTAATAAGATAGAATCCACTGGGCATACTGACCAATTAGATGAAGAAAGTAAGACAGATATAAAATTATTCTCAATAAGGGTGTCCTTCATTTAGACATATATAGAGAAGGAAAGAAGGGTCTGGTGAATGCTACCTAGGAAAAAGGATAAATTGAATATTCTCTGTAGATGACCAAATTCTCCTTGCCTCTTAACTTCCAGATACTATACACAATCCCTCATCCAATACTTTTTGAAGCCAGATCTGTTTTAGAATAAAAAATTTTGTAGAATTTTGAAAGGCAAGCTTAAATCTTTTAGAACTATTAAACAGAATTACAAAATCTTTTTTTAAAACACAAAGTTTTAATATCTAAAACATACATCAAAGACTGATCAGTACTAAACTATATTCAGGCTTCTTGTCACTGAAGATTAATATTTGACTCAAAAAGAATGGACTCTCACGAATTGACAAACAGATATACAAAATGTATATCTGGAATATATGGAATGTATTCCATACACTGGAATGTTATTTGGCCATAAAAAGGAATGAAATTCTGCACATGATACAAGATGGGTGAACCTTGAAAACATTATGCTAAGTGAAAGTCAGACACAAATATCCATGTACTGTATGATTCTATGTATATGAAATGTCCAGAATAGGTAAGTCCACAATGATAAGAAGATTAGTGGTTGCCATGGACTTGGAGTAGAGGGGAATGGAGTGACTGCTAAAAGGTATAGGGTTTCTTTCTGGGGTGATGAAAATGTTCTGAAAGTAGGTAGTGACTGATGTACAACATTGTACAATATTGTAAATATACTAAAAAGGCCCAAGTTGTATAATTTAAATTTGTGAACTGTGTGGTGTATGAATTGAATCTCAATAATGTTGCCACTAAAATTTCTTTAAGAAAGGAATGAATTCATTTGATCAGATAACCTTTAGTTTCTAAAGTATTTAAAATAAGCTGCCAAGACAAATCATACTAGAGAAATATTTCTGTTCACCACTGAATAACTATTTTGATCTTATAAGATATACCTAAAAGAAAATAATACCATAGTTCTGCAGACTTTTCATATTTAAAAACGTAAACTTACATAAATAGGTTTAAAAATGGAATATGCATAATTAGTATGGATAAGAAAAGAAACACAGGGAAAGAATCAATAATAAAATAAGCCTGGGCTAGACTATAGTTTGTCCTTACCTCAAAGATATAAAAACTAAAAATTTTTATCAAATGCTGAAAGCAGTCATAAAAAGGTAATCTGGCAATTTTCTCTCTAAATCCAAACTCCAAATTCATTTTATTCCAATTTAAGTTGGAGAATGTTTATAAGCCAACATGAAGCTACTTATAATAGGATCACTGTGAACAATGCCTATGGAAATGAGAAAATTTAAAACTGAAGATTAACCAGAAAAATGAACAAAGACACTAGAATCTGTCTGCATTAGAACAACCTTAAGTATTAACTTATAAAGATGAATTATAGAGGAACAATGAAAAGAGAATATAAAGAAAAAGCCAAGTCCACCAAAATGATGTTTATCAGTTGGGTCCCTGACTTGATGTTCTACCAGGCTTGCGCCGAAAATGGCTTGTCCTTGATGGCTTGGGTTGGAAGGTCTGCTAAATGCCTCCTTCCTCTAGCAGATCACAAGTAGTCAACGAAGGGTAAAAAGAGAAATGTACTTTAGTAGATTAGGAAACGCTACACTGAATTTTTACTGCATAGTCTTCTCTTATATATATACATATATACACACATATAACATTTATATATATACATGTATACATGTGTGTAGAAGGAAATATCTAAAAACAATTTTTAAGAATGTGAAAAATAAAATGTGCAACTGAAAATTTACAAAAATAAAAAAACTGAATATATGTAGCACACTTTAATATTCATAGGAAATAAATTGTAAAAGGATAAAATTCTTACCAAAATACCAGTTTATTTAGTCATCTGAATTATTTTTTATAATTTATGTTTTATTCACATTGAGCAATGTAGGTAAAATGGGTAAGTTTTGATTTATAAATACAACATGATACTATGATTACTAGCTTCTGTTACATGACCATGAGCTAACTGCTTCCATATTTATCCCAATATGTGGTAAATCACAACATTAAAAATTCTTTTTTGTTGTTGTTTTGTCCTTTTAAGATCACAATATTAGTTTAATGTTATGATAATGTTTAATAATATAAAGTATAAATCTTGGATCTATGTAATTTAGCAAACGTGAGCTTCCCAATCATTTTATAAAACCTGCTATCTCTTGAATAACTTGTATAAAATAATATGGGATGTTTGAAGTATTAGAAAAAAATTATTCAGCAGTCTTTCATAAATGGCATACTCTTAACATGCGAGGTAAAAGTAAGATAGGAAGAGTACACATATGTTAAGATAATGTAGCAAGTAGCAACTGATTTGTATGAAAATTAGTCTGTAGGTCTTAATATTTAGATGAAGAAATTTGGGTAATGCTTGCAGCAGGAAATGAGGAATTATGTGGCTTTACTTTTCTTTTTGAAATGAAAATGATGTTAAGATCTATTATATAACATAAAGATACTGTGATAAAGTAGTATTTATTAAGCTTCTTAAAGTCCAAATTAGAATTTTAGTTGGAACTTCAAAAGCAATAAAAAAAACTAATGCCTTCCTTCAATAATTTTATTTTATATTTTTATTACTAAGTAATACATGAGACTAAAAATATCAAACACAACATATATATGATTAATGGTCATGTGTGGCAAATTCAGCTATATGGACTACTATGTTTACATAATCAGTTTTAGAAAGTGATTAAAAAACTATGCATTCATGGTAAAAATCAAATGCAGTTACAATAGATCATGCTAATACCAGTTAAAAGACAGAAGTAATAATAAGGGTTAAAATCATGTTGGGATTTGGAAAAATTTTGTATTAAATACAAAGATGTTTAATAAATCCCAGAAACATAACTGGAGACATTTAATTAAAATTTAATTTGCTTCAAATAATTCTTTTACTGTAATATATAGAACAGAGGCACACAGTGACACTATTTCTATTAACTTATAATTTATGGAAATACTTGCTTTGTTATTAAGAGCTTAGTTTGAGAGTTTTTAAGAAAAATAAGTAATTAAAGAGAAAAGTTGGGGAATTAAGAGCTGATATAAGTGACAAACAGGCAAAAAGAATCTATAAAAATAATTGTAGTAGTCAAATGATCTTTACAAGTAACGGAAAAAAAAGAACAGATAACTAAAAATGTTGAACAAGAATTAGGTATGTGGCAAGGTAACAAAATTATTTCCAGTCACACATTTCACCTAGAAGAAATGAAGAGTCTTATAACTTAAGCTTATTAAAGTAGCTATCTGGGTGAAGCAAACACACAGTATAGTATCCTTATTTCACGGTTTCAAAATTGTGACATGAAAGCCACGTTAAAATCAATTGATTAAATAACTAATTAATGTGGAACAATGAAAGTGAAGTTCTATGAAATTGATTGCCATTGCAGAATATTTTCAAGTCCTATACATAGGAATATAAAGAGTAATTGGGAAATATAAAGTAAAAATTAACAGATTTGTACAATTAGCAAGAAGACTAGACTAACCAAAGTATACACTGTATGTATTTTCACCTAATATTATCCTTCCTTCTGCTATGCTCTTCCATTGTCTATATCAGTATCCAAACCTTCCTCATACTTTAAGATTTGCCCCCAAATTTTCCATGAAGTTTATCCTATCTCCTCCAGCTCATAGTAATTTCCACTTTCCCCAGATTCTTGGTGAAGAGTACCACCAATTTAGGGGCACCTGGGTGGCTCAGTCAGTTGCGCGTCCGACTTTGGCTCAGGCCATGATCTCACAGTTTGTGGGTTTGAGCCCCCCGTCGGGCTCTGTGCTGATGACTAGCTCAGAGCCTAGAGCCTGCTTCAGATTCTGTGTCTCTTTCTATCTCTGCCCTTCCTCTGTTCATGCTCTGCCTCATTCTGTCTCTCAAAAATAAATAAATGTAAAAAAAATTAAAGAAAAAAGAGTACCACCCATTTCAAAATCATGAGATAGACTGACAGTTTTCCCGATCACAGAGATATACCAGAATTTATTTTTAAAATCACTTTTTAAATTAAAGTAAGTCATGATCAATACAAAATTCAAAATGCATAGACGGATATGAAGTGGAAAAAAAGGCTCAGTCTTCTACAGATAAACACCATCAATAATTTCTCATATGTCTCACTTTATCATTCTTATACACCTTTTAGAAACTCTTGGGGATGGGCACCTGCATGGCTAGGTGGGTTAAACATCTGACTTGATTTCAGTTCAGGTCAGGAGTTCATGGCTCATGAGGTGGAGCCCATCTCCCATCCCCTTAGGATTTTGTTTCCCTCTCTTTCTAACCCTCCCCCACTTGTTCTCTCTAAAAATAAAATAATTTCTTTTAAGAAAGTAAAATTCAAAGGAAAAAAGAAACTCTTGGGGACAAATTACTTAGGGATTTGGAGTTTTCCAGATTTAGAAAGGTATTTTGATTCATTTACTTCATTTTATGTAACACCAGTCAATGGTATCTAGGCAACATCTTATCAAAAAATACATTAGTATTTCTGTAGTGAATAATGTTTATTTATTTTGAGGGGTGGGGGATAGATTGTAAGCAGAGAAGGGGAAGAGAGAGAGAGAGAGAGAGTGAGAAAGTGAGAGAGAACAGACTCTGCATTTTCAGAACTGAGTCCGACGCTGGCCTCGAACCCACAAACAATGAGATCATGACCTGAGCTGAAATGGAGTCCAACACTTAACTGACTGAGCCACCCAAGAGCCCCTCGCCCTTTGATATAAACATAGAACACAGGAGCACCTGGGTGGCTCAGTCGGCTAAGCATACAACTTCACCTCAGGTCATGATTTCACAGTTTGTGGGTTTAAGCCCCGCATCATGCTCTGAGCTGACATTCAGAGACTGGAGCCTGCTTTTTATTAGGTCTCCCCCTCTCTATGCCCTGCACCTGCTCACACTCTGTCTCTCTCTCTCAAAAATAAATATACATTAAAAAAATAAACATGGGACATAAATAATTTCACATATTCACAAACTGTTTTTCCCCCCTTAGAAGATGTGCCTTTTTTCCCTCCAACTTTATTGAGATTTAACTGACATATAACACTAGTAACTTTAAGGTGTATAACATAATGATTTAATACATGCTTATATTGCTAAACGATTATACAATAAGGTTAGTTAATACATTCATCATCTCACCTATTTATATTTTTGTCTGTGTGTGGTGAAAACATTTAAGATGTACTCTCTCAGTCACTTTCAACTATATAATACAGTTATTGTTAACTGTTATTGTTAATTCAGCACCATGTGAACATTAGATCCTAATACCTTAATTCATATTATAACTGGAAGTTTGTGTCCTTTGTAAAAAATCATCTCCCCATTTCTTCCACTTTCCAGCCCCTAGCAATAACCACCATTCTATTCTCTGTGTCTCTGAATTTGAGTCTTTTCCCCAAGTTTTTACTTAAATTCCAGTTAGTTAACATACAGTATAAATATTAGTTTCAGGTATAGAATTTAGTGATTCAACTCTTAAATACAATACCTGGTGCTCATCACAATTTTTTTTAAAAAAAAGATTCCACATATAACTGCGGTAATACATAAGTCTGGCTAATATCTCACTTAGCAAAATGTCCTTAAGGTCTATCCATGTTGTCACAAATGGCAGGATGTCCTTCTTTTTCTATAGCTAAATTTTATTTATCTGTATTTTCTTTATTCAGTCATTCACCCACTGATGGACACTTAGTTTGCTTGTATGTCTTGGCTATTGTAAATAATGTTGCAGTTAGCACTAGGGTGCAGATATCTCTTTCAGACAGTGATTTTATTTCCTTCAGAGATATATCCAGAAATGGGGCCATACAGCAGGTCTATTTTGAACTTTTTGAAGGACCCACATACTATTCTCCATAATGGCTATACCAATTTACATTCCCATCAACAGTGTATAAGATTTCCTTTTTTCCTACATCCTTGTCAGGACTTGCTATCTCTCTCTTTTTAAAAATTTTTAAAATGTTGGGGCGCCTGGGTGGCTTAGTCGGTTAAGCGTCCGACTTTCGCTTAGGTCATGATCTGGCGGTTCGTGGGTTCGAGCCCTGCGTCGGGCTCTGTGCTGACTGCCAGCTCAGAGCCTGGAGCCTGTTTCAGTCTGTGACTCCCTCTCTCTCTGACCCTCCCCTGCTCACGCTGTCTCTCTCTCTCCTAGAAATAAATAAAACATTAAAAAAATTTAAAAAATTTTAAAATGTTTATTTATTTTTGAGAGGAAGATACAGAGAGTGAGCATGAGCAGGGGAGAAGCAGAGAGGGAGACACAAAACCTGAAGCTGTCAGCCACAGAGTCGGACGAAGGGCTTAAACTCACAAACTGAGATCATGACCTGAGCCAAAGTTGGACACTTACCGATTGAGGCATGCAGGCACCCCCTCTTTTCTTTTTAATAATAGCCATTCTTACAGGTGTGAGGTGATATCTCATTGTGGTTTTGGTTTGCATTTCCCTGATGATTAATGATGCTGAGGGTCTTTTTATGTACCTCTTGGCCATCTGTGAGGTTTTGTTTTTTGGGTTTTTTTTAATGTCTTTTTGTGTCCTTCTGACCATTTTTTATTTAGATTATTTGATTCTTGTCTTGGCTACTGAGTTATAAATACGCTATTTAGTTATAAATAAGAGTTCATTATATTTTGGATATTAATCCCTTGTGTGATATCTGGTCATGTAGAGTTTTTAAATTCATGATGAATTTAAGTAGGCCTGTAATGTTTCCAGGTCAGTTAGGTTTTGCCCAAATGTGCTGAGGAGAAAGGAGACTTTTATATTGCAGAGCTTTTTCCATTTTAGGACTGCAATTATAAGCCTATACTAACTCTAGCCCTAAAAACACAATACGCTGCCAGGGCGTCTGGGTGGCTCAGTTGGTTAAGCGTCTGACTTCAGCTCAGGTCATGATCTCATGGCTCGTGGGTTTAAGCCCTGTGTCGGGCTCTGTGCTGACAGCTCAGAGCCTGGAGCCTGTTTCAGATTCTGTGTCTCCCTCTCTCTGCCCTTCACTTGCTTATGTTCTCTCTCTCTCTCAAAAATAAACATCAAAAAAACAAAACAAAACAAAAAACCCACAACACACTACCACAGACATACAGTTAATGACAAACTGTATCCTTTTTGTTCTTTCATATGTTTCATTATGAATGAAACACAATCCTGTTCTCAGTCACAGTGTTCAATGATTGAAATCTATAGAGAACAGTGCATATTTGACTCTCAGTAAATACAAGTAGTAATTTAGTACCCACTAGAAAAAAATCTTACTGCTGAGTTGTTTCTGGCTTTGTATATATTTCCTAGAAGGAGATCTTGCAGAGAATTCAGATAAGAGAATTCAGAGAGTGGGTCAATGGAAGATGCTCTATCAGATGGTAAGTAGTATATTCATTCAATTTCTTTAACTATTGTCTCCAATATCATGCCTTACATTGCTTCCAGATGTATCCCACATTCCCTCTTTTGCTACTGATTATAGTTTATTAATTATAGATATCTTTTATACATATTTGATTCATCCTTTGATATTCTCCTCTTTTCATCTCCAACTGTTGTGGTTTTTCTTTTTATGTTCTCTTAACCAGCTATATTTAGTAGATGTTAAATCTGGCTGATAATCCACCTAACTTTTTCTGATATTCAGGTATGGATTCAATTTTTCTTTACAGATGGCTAACCCATTGTCCAAACAACATATATTAAATAATCAATTTTTCCCACTGATACATGATGCCATCTGTATCATTTCCGATATTCTTGCACTCATTTAGTCTAGAGTTTATTATCCTCTTCATTCGGTCAGTACATATGCCAATACAGACTTTTCCAACTTGAGGCCTGTGAGAGAATTAAATTCTAAAAAAGTGATACGTGAATTATTTCTTAATTATACTACAGGTAATTTCTATATGCCATGGAAAGGAGGCTATTTTATTACATACATAGCTTAAGAATGGTCATCTGAAGATATTATGTCCTAATATTTGGAACCATTAAATATTACCTTATAAAGGAAAAGGATATTTCCAGATGTGATGAAAGGATTTTTAAAAGAGCAAATTATCTTGGATTATCCAGGCTGGACCTAAACGCAATAGCAAAGGTCCTTATAAGAGAAAAGGAGATACATACAGAAGGGCGGGAGGCAATGTGGCTGTAGAGTCTGAGACTGAAGTGATGTGGCCATAAACCAAAGCTGCTGGCAGTCACTAGAAGCAGGAAGAAGCAAGGAAAGGATTCCCCACCTAGAGTCTTTAGAGAAAAGAAGGCCCTGCCAACATCCTGATTTTGGCCCATTGACACATATTTCAGATTTCTACTATCTGGAACAGTGAGAAAATCATTATCTGTTGCATTAAGCCACCATTTATGGTAATTTGTTATAGCAGCCATAATAAACAAATATACAAACAATATGCCTAAACTATGGTAAATACCCAAACAATATGCCTAAGTACAATATGGCACTAAGGCTTAATTCAAAGTTATTTTGGTATACATGACAGTTACTCATATGGATACATTATTAATCTTGTACTACAATAGATCGTATTAGTTGTAGTAGTTACTCAGTTGAATTTATTTGGGGTGGTGGTTCCAGGTATATAATCATATCATCTGCATGCAGGGCTTTAACTTCACTTTCTTGATTTTTAAAAAGCTTCCTGTATCTTTCTTTTGGCTGGTTCCCTTCACCATGATGTTAAATAACAGTCATGATTGTAGGCGTCTTTACAATGTTCCTGAACTTGTGCACATGCATTTGTAGTATTTCCTCTTTCCTATTTTCCTCCAACATCTGCTGAGACTGTCATGGCCTGAGATAGAAGAATGCAAAGCTTCCCATGCCTAGTGTGCTTTCGACTATTTCCCCTGGTACCTGAACTGTTTTTCTTTTACAAGTGTTGATGCCATGTTATTTGGCTTGTAGATATTCATAAAGAAAAGGATATTTCCTTCCTCCTCATCATTGTGAATTATAGGCTTTGCATTAAAAAACTACTTTGTCCATCTCATGGGATGTGTATGTGGACTAATTCCTCTGGTCTGAAGTATTTTGTTTGCTTTTATTTGCCTTAATTTTTATCTTTCTTTAGTTTTCAACATTCTTAAAATTCTTTTTTTTAATGTTTATTTATTTTGGAAATAGAGTCAGAGCTCAAGAAGGGGAGGGGCGGAGAGACTGGGAGCCACAGAATACAAAGAAGGCACCAGGTTCTGCACTGTCAGCACAAAGCCTGATATGGGGCTCAAACCCACAAACCACGAGATCATGACCTCAGCCAAAGTCCGATGCTTAACCAACTGAGCCATCCAGGCACCCCTCAACATTCCTCAAATTCTTTAATTTACTTGTGTTTCTTGCATATGAACAGAATCTTGGTCTGTGCTTTAGCTGAAAATCCATTTTTAAAAAAACTAACATGAGTTAATAAGTTCATTTACATTATTTTTTCTCTTGGCTGATTCCCTTCAGTACAATGTTAAGTGATTATTGTGACAGTGGCCTTTTGATAAATAGAAATGGTCTGTTTTCATTCTGTTGTTATTTCAACTTGTTTTCTGGATTTTTAAAAAAGAAAATATGTTATCATCATTTATCTCATTTTTCTCCATTTTAGTCCCAATCTCTGTTTCAGTAGTTATAACTTTATGCAACTTTTCATTTACAAATTGACTTACATAATTTTTGTAACTTTGTTTTTTATTTCTGTATTCAAGATCTATTAGTATACTCCTACGAGTAATTATTATATTAGCAGATTTTCTATTGCTCTGTCCAGGTTTTTCTTTCATTCATCATACTTCAGTTAATATTTTTGTGCTTTTTGTTGTACTGTTAAATTCTTCTTATACTTTTGTTATTAGAAGCTTTCCTTGACATTTTTTTGACTCGAAAGTATTAAGGAAGAGGAAATCAACACACTTATGACTATAAAAAACCTGGAGGAAAGAGGAAAATAGATGATATATCATTTCAATTTTTAGACAATACAGTGTTTACATTTTGTTCTTAAATATCCATCCTTGTTTCAGTCTTTATTTTACAGTTAAATCTTTTTAATGCTCCACTGGTTATCCTTCTGTGGTAATTTTTCTAGTTATTTCCATCTGATTGGCAATTTATTTTCTAGGAATTTTTTCAAAAAGAAATAATATTCTCCAAGTTCAAAACTGTCTGAAGTCTTTACATCTAGACTGTTTGACTTAATTTAAAACACAAAACCCTGGATGCCTGGGTGGCTCAGTAGGTTGAGTGATCAAATCTTGATATGGGCTCAGGTAGTGATCTTCCAGTTGTTGGATCGAGCCCTGTGTTGGGCTCCATGCTGAGCATGGGCCTCCTTGAGATTCTCTCTCTCCTTCTCTCTCTGCCCCTACTATGCTTGCATGCTCTCATACTCTCTTTCTCAAAATAAATAAAAAAAATAAACATTTAAAATACTAAAATACAAAACTTTCTTTTCTACAAGATCCAGTAGCTGTCATTCCACTGTCAACTGCCACTAAATGTTGATGTGGATAAATCAGAGACAAGCCTGAGCATTCTTTTCTTGTATCAGTGATTTGATCATTCTTTCTTCATGATTAAAATCTAGGAACTTCAAGAGGATAAGTCCTAGTACTGACAGATCTAGATTAATTTTCTCTGGGCCATGGTGTGCCCTTTCTATAAGTGGATTCAAATTGCCATCTGTTTAAGAAAGAGTTATTAAGTTTCAACTTTAAGTATATTTTTCGATTATTTTGGTTTGTCTCTTTAGTTCTCTCTCTCAATTTATCTATCTATACACAATCACACAAAATTTTCTCCCCAATTATTTTGTTCTTTGTTTTTTTTTGTCATTGTCATTTTGATCTTTTATGTTCCTTAAGGTACTTTCTATAATGTCTAGTCTCTCTTGTGCTCTTTCTAATTTCATCTTTGAAATAAATACTTCTTTCATAAGTTTGACCAGCTCCTAATTTATCTTCTACTATCTTTACAACATTTTCCCAGATTTCTTGCTTTCCAGACCATGAGTTTTGCTCTCAGAGGTAACTGCTTTATTCATTTTCTCTCTTCTCTCCCTGCCTCTCTGTCCATCAATCCATTTATCC